AGCACAGTTCTGCGCTTTAGATCTCGTATCCATGCCTTGAATACACTCCAGACACGCATGGACATGCTGTTGGAGAAGAAAGTGTTTCGTGGGAATGTCGTGAATAGCGCTGTAAAGGTATATAAGGCCTGCGTGCTGGAAACAACGGACAAGTGAGAGCGATGCCGTTGTAACAGGGCTTAGCAAGTCTTGTCCTGCGTCTCCATCTGGACACTCTAGCTTGGAGTACGTGGGCTGAAGCGCGTGCTCAAAGGCCTGCGCCTTCTCGACGCATACTTCGGCTCCATTTTGTAGCTCGTGGCGGTAGAAGCTCATCTCAGCCAATGTGGATAGAACAGACCCAAGTGATGTAGTGCCAGGTACGACTTCCCACCACACTGATCCTGACTCCATTGTCTCCCAAATGCAGGCTGGGAACGAAGGTTTTCTGTCTTGAAGCAAGGCGTCTGTCAGATCAGTGGATGCTAGTTCCGAGAGTAGCATTCTAGTCATTCTGTCTGACGATGACCATGCTGCTCGAAAGCCGCCCATTGCGTTGATGATCGCGATCGCTCCTGCAAGGTGACAACCGGTCGAAGCGTCATCTGACATGCAGTTGACATAGCCTTCCAGGAAGTACAAAAGCAGCACCGCGACTAAAAGTGCGGAGAGCGCAGCACCATCGGATTGCTCGCTGCTCAGTTGGCCGCGGATAACTGACAAGCAATGCAAGCGTCTCCTCTCAAGAGTCTGTTTGGACGACCCGCGCTCTTGGAGCGCCCGATGCTCCTCGGCAAATACGCATAGGGCCTGGAGGACAGGTTGAGAGCGCAGGGCAAGTGCTACTGGTGGCGGGACTGGCTCATGAAGAGTGGAGAAAAGTGGCCATAACCGCGCTTTGAAGTATTCCAGTGCTCTTCGCTCATTGACTGCCAGGTGAATGTTATTGAGCGAACGCTCGATGGATAGCTGTGGGATGCATTCGGGCACCGTTTTAGCAGGTCGCTTCTTCCATCTGAGTAGTAACTTGTCGTAGCTGCAGTCTTCCGCGTTTGTGGAAAGGAGGCATCGTCGGCATGTGGGCTTCTGGAGGTCGCATTTGACTCGTCTTTGCTTGCAAGGCCAGCACGACCCTTCAACCGTCCGTCGACGTTTTGGCGGACTGTTGCCAGAGGATTCCGGACGCGACATCTGTCTGCATGACGTGATAAGGGTCGCGATTTCAGAGTAAGAGTGACGAGGTTGCGAAAGGGGAGTACCAGTCGATATCAGATGGATGATACGAATGTCCGACTGATGCGAATCTGCCCTCAGTATTGATGCATGAAGGAACAAAGATCGAAAAGGGCGAGACGCGTCGAGGCCTTCGCTGATCGGGGCCCCCGATTGGCGCACGCCAAGACCATTATTCCCGCTAGAGCCGTGGCCTCGCCGCTCCACCAAGATATCTCTCTCTCCATCAATGCGATAACGACGTCTGATGGGATATTTGTCACTGTTGAGTATTATGGCGGTAAGGGGTCAGGGACGTTTATGCTAACGCTTGGAGCGAACAAACAATCAAGCACCGTGTCAAGGCTCATGCTTTTGCGGGCCGAAGAAGCCCTGGAGGCGATAGGAACGGTACATGAAGCTCAACAACCCTTGAACCCTAGACTCCAACTTCTTCAACCCTTTGCTGGGCTGTTCTGCCATCGAATCTCATGGGCGTCCAACCTCCGAGCGTCGGATCATCCAACACTTTGGTTCCGGACGGTGTCAGGCTGCATCTAACGTCAATAGCTTTGCTTGTTACCGTGCAACACGTTGGTACGGTAATGGTACCTGCATTAAAGCGGAACCGCGCAAGGTAAGCAGAAGTACCTGCAAGACCCTCGCTCCTCACACCTTCTATGTGCGCGTCGATGCGCGTTCTGAACGCTACTCTCAACATTGACGTCCTGAAAAGCAATGGACACCGGCAAAGGGTGGCAGATGCTGGGCTTACTGCCATGAACAAGCCCTTTGTTGAGTTAGCAGATTGCGAGGGTAATCCATTTGGATGGAAAAGTGTTCAGTTACTGCCAAACACCTACAGGGCTGAGCATTTCAAAGGTCATGTGCTCGTGGTGGCTCCGGCTCTCCACAGCAGCGGCTGCACGATCACACTAGTGTCGTCGATCACTTGGCTCAGCTCTTCTACAAGCGGTCGATGGACTGGAGGCTTACCGGATCACCTCAATTACTAACATCACCGTTCGCTAGCGGAAAGCGTCAGTGGCTCTTGTATCGCTATCTTGGGGCAATACCCGAAAGCAGCTCGAAATCGCATGGCGCGCCATGCCACGACACCTGGGCATACAAGCGAACCCCAGCTGATGGTACTAGCTTGTGTAGCTGAAGAACAAATACACCGCTTAGTCGTTGCACGAGTTCACGTATGTGGGACCGCAAGGCAAGTGGCGTATTCTTCCTCGCGGATGATGGGCTCAGGTCCCGGATCACCATGCGGAGAGTATTGAGTTTTGACATGCCAAGCGAACACGCGAGATCTGGACAAGCCACCATGCATCTTCACGAGAAAACACGAGGCTATCGTGGCTTCGTAGAATTCTGGACAACGGATACCGACGCTAGCGGCACCGGAGAATCGCAAAGCGGTATGCTGCTTTTCGGCAGGGTGCTCTTCCGCACTCAAGTATTGGTGGCATTCACGCAGGATGCTGTGACTGTACTGTCGATATTTCGCTCTGGGCTGTACTTGCTTGTCGAATGGCGAGTGTTTCGACTCACACTCTTTGAATCAGGCACATGTCTGCAACAGCTAGACCGTTCGCAAATGCGCCTCTTCGCAAGCTTGGCACCTTTTTTCTAGGCGGCGACTGCTAGACTGCCCTGACTTCCTACATTGACGGGATCTACCTGTCTCAAAAGGTCATTAGTCTAGGCTCGGCCCTGCATATCGCTGTCATGACCATCACTTGGTAGCTGTTTGGCTGGCTTTCCTCAACCGTATCGCCTTAAAGCGGCTGGCTTGGCCTAGGGCTACAGGGATAGATTACTATTTCGGGGACCGAGCTGTATCCCTCTACTCAATGTGGCTTGCTGTGGCCTCAACTAAACGGCGTCTTGGTTCCATGCGGGACTGTGATCGGCGAGAATGGAAGGCCCGGGACTTGGTACACCGTTGCTGTTAGGAGACAGTGGGGGAATATAAGGATGTTCCAAACATCTTGTCTTTTTGTTCCTCATCAGCTCACAGTTGCTCCTCTTACACTGTCTTATAATTTATTGTTCATAATCTTCTCGGTCGTTACTTACCTCAGCTGCCATGATGGTCCCTACTAAGTCCCTGGCGTTGCCACTCATCGCTCTATGTTCGATAGCATCATCAACTCCGTTGGAACCCCGTCATGCCGCACCCGGCCTTATCGATGGCATTCTCAATGGTGTTCTCACAGGCATTGAGCAACTCATTGCGGACGTTCTGTCTGGTAAAAAGTCACCTATCGACAACACCAAGACGAACAAGCCGTTGACCTGCTCATTGTTGAGTATTGACAAATGTTGCGTTTGTGAGTTACAACAATCCTCCTTAATCGTCTATGGCCTAACAGATATAGGGTATGATGTCTCTGCCGAGCTTACCAAGCTGTTTGTCGACCCCAAGGACAAACAATGCAACGACAACGCTCGTGCCGCAGTCCGTATGGGCTTCCACGATGCTGGGTCTTGGGATAAGAATGCTCTCAATGGTGGTGCCGATGGATCGCTACTCATGGACTTTGGCGAGCATGAAAGACCCGAGAACAACGGCCTTCAGAGCATTCGCACAAAACTTCGAGATGTACAATCCAAGTACAAGGTCGGATACGCTGATCTCGTCCAATATGCGCACAATCACGCAACAATCTCGTGTCCGAAGGGGCCCCGCGTACTTACATTCGTTGGCCGCAAGGATGCGACCAAGGCCGCACCCAAAGGACTTCTACCTGACGTTCATCAAGACGCCGACAAATTGATCGCCATCTTCAAGGACAAGGGTTTCTCGCCCCACGATCTCGCAGCACTCGTAGGCGCCCACGCAACAGCCAAGCAACGATTCGTGGACGTCCGCCCAGAGGTCGTCGACAAGCCACTCGATACGACCCCCGGTGTCTGGGACGTCGAATTCTACAACGATACTCTTAACAATCCCTCCGGTGGCAGTGCTGATCAGAAGGTCTTCGTCCTCCCAAGCGACAAGGTGCTATCGACACATCCCAAGATCGCCGATGAGTGGAAGTCGTTTGTTGGTAACCAGGTCCATTGGAACCTGGACTATGCGAAGGCTTACATCAGGATGAGTCTTCTGGGTGTAGAGAAGAGAGATCTGATGAAGTTGGTGGACTGCACGAGGACACTGCCCGTTAGCAGGCCCTCATTTCCTTAGTGTACATAATTTACAATACCCTTACGCGCATCGCGATTTAATTCAATAATTATTATGACAAGACGTCTCCGTGTCATATGCATGTTTGGCACGTGCGCGTGTATTTGACGTATCGACCAGGTAAGAGCTCGGAAGCCCTGGATGGCCCCTTCAGGGACCGCATCTGGAGAGGGTCGCTGAAGACGGAGTTGGATAGCGGCAATAATCGTGACTCAGAACCATCGAAAGGGGAGAACTTAGACGAAGCAACTGGTGCAACCCTTTTCAGTTATCACACTTGGCAAAAACTTTGTTGTGTCGAGATGCGATGAATGAATCGCGGTGCATGGTTGGTCTACCAGATAAAGCCAGGCGGGGTGGCTGACATAAGCGTGAGGCAGGCAAGGGTCCAGGTCAGGCGAGTCGAGCTTGCTTGTTTGTAGTGCGGAGAGCAGGTAGCTCACAAACGTCACGGCCGGCACACGAGCGTCACCACCACCACGCTTCACCCACACGCTCACAGACTGAGGCCTCAGATCGAATCACGATACAAGCGACTTAAAAGATAGCAAAGGACACAATGGCAACTCAATTCTTGAGGGCGGCGGCTCGCGCCGGCGTTCGAGCGCCTATGGCTGCTTCCCGCGGATTCCAGACAAGCGCTGTACTGAGGCAGGATACTGTTGTTGCGCCAGTGAAGAAGCCCGTTGGTGCTTTTAGGGGAGGGTGAGTACCCATCTCGCAATTGCATTCGGCAATGTCCGACTGGGTTCCGATGGCTACACAGCCATGGGAGACTGTCACATGCCATGAGGCAGGCGCGACAACGAACGACGTCTACTAGAACGGCAAACATGGCTGAATCAGTATGGCTAACACACGACAGATTATTCGGCTTCCTTCTCGGTGCTACCGCGTCCGGCGCAGGCATGTACTACTATGTCATTGACGAATACCGCGTATCGAACCAGCTCCTGACCGAGGACATCTACGTACGTCATTCCTACATACATCCTTTACGCACAAGCTCGATCGCAATAACAATACATCGGGGCTATACATTTGAAGCAGGCCATAGCTAACGAAAGCAGGCTCTCCAATCCGCCGTCCAACGGATAGAAGGCTACGTTCGAACCCTCGAGGACAAAGTCGATGCGAAGAAGCGATAAATCACCCACCGCATACCTATCAAGCGACGATTACGCGGCCGAACTTGCGCAGCGCGCCGGAGGGGACATGCACGGGCGGAGCAGGCAGTACAATACGATGGGCCAGTGGGATGCAACACGCATGTACACTACGAGATTGGACTCCTCTTCGTCATTACGAAAGCTGATACTCACCGAGTAACTACCTTATACCAAATATATTTTAGGCTGTTCATGGTGGTGTTTTGGGACCTGATGATGATTTTGTGACAGGCGCCCTTCACCTTCACCTGACATGCGGACTTGAATCGTGTCCTCTCTGAAACTCTATCCAACTACGAGATAATTGCTTCACCGTTTAGGAAGTCGCGTTTGCAATCAAATGAATGCGTAATTACACGCGCTTTCGTGTGCATTTTAATCTATTATTTGACTCATCATTATGTGAGATCAATCCACGAAACCAAAACTAACACCGTTCATGCTATTTACCATCAGATGCCCCCACTTATCCTATCCGACTCAAATCGTCGCTTCACAACAGCGTAAGCGGCGCGATCCACTCGCACTTCGGTGGCGTAACAGGTATGTCTTCATCATCGTTGAATCGCCCGAGCTGAGCAACACGCTTGTAGATCTCCTCTAGAATCCTACCCTGCTCGCCCTCATACTCTTCTGGTTTGCCTTCCTTGTAACGGTCCTTGGGATCGATGGGCTTGCCATCTGGTGTAACACCTTCAACATGGGGGCGCGGTGCGGAGCTAGGCTGCGCTATTGAAGCCGGCTGAGAGGTAGCCTGGACAGGGGCGGGAGGGTTCCCAGGCTGGCTCTGTGTCTGGGTGGTGAAGGGAGAAGGTGAAGGCGTGGAGGCTGCTGGCGCGGCAGATGTTTGGGGCTTGAGGAAGGGGTTGGCAGCTGCCGGCTGCGTTGCGTTGTTCTGAGGCTGTTGAGTACCGAAAGGTGACGGTTTGCTTGGTTGACCGAAGGCCGGAGCTTGAGACGCTGCGGCGCCGCCGAAGGGGTTTGCCTGTGCAGGTGCAGGTACAGGTGCTTGTGTAGACGGCTGCTGAGGCTGACCGAACGGATTTGGCTTCTGAACCTGTTGGGCTTGCTGTCCAAACGGTGAATTTTGAGCTGGTTGCTGGCCTGCTTGACCGAATGGTGCAGATTGAGCTGGTTGTTGGGCTGCTTGACCGAATGGTGAAGACTGGCTTGATTGCTGTGCTTTGTGGCCGAATGGAGATGGACCTGACGAGGCTTGCTGACCAAAGGGTGACGCACCAGACGAAGCTTGCTGGCTAAAAGGAGAGGCATTAGCACCTGGTTGAGCCATCTGCCCGAATCCGCTCTGGCCAAAACCTGGTTTGCTGAATGGGCTTGGCTTTTGTCCAAGAGCGTTTACTTGGCCGAAACCCGATGCCGCACCTGGTGCTGATGGCTGGCCGAAAGCAGATCCAGAACCTTGACCCATACTGCTGGCCTGACCGAATGCGCTACCTGCGCCCGGCATGGACGGTTGGCCGAATCCGGAGGCACCAAAAGCAGGCTTCCCAAACGCACTACCACTACCACCACCCAAAGCTGAAGGTTGAGTAAAGGGTGATGGCTTCTGGCCTACCGCAGAGGCAGCGCCGAAGGCCGATGTTGAACTTGTCTGAGCTGGTTGACCGAAGGCCGGTTTGCCAAATCCTGGATTACCCAACGCAGAAGCTGCACCGAAGGACGATGTTGAAGTTGTCTGTGCTGGTTGGCCGAAGGCCGGTTTGCCGAATCCTGGTGTAGAAGCTTGCCCGAACGCAGATGGTTGAGATGATGCTGCAGCAGTCTGGAACGGATTCGCTTGTGCTTTCATGAAGGGATTCGCAGCAGTGTTAGACGATCCAGTAGGATTGCTCGCTGATCCGCTTGCTGCAGTGCCCTTGGCGATGTCGATACGGTTAGGATGAACGTTGGCACCCTCTGCGACGTAGTTGATAGCACCTGTGATATCATCCAAAATCGCCTTTACTTGCTGCTGCATCTTCTCGCTCAGTGCTCCCTCTTCTTGTTGCTACAGACCGTTAGTTATGAAGAACCCAGCGCTGAACTTCAGACTTACCGCTGTAGGCTCATTGCCTGCCGCTCGTAATGTGTAGTACCGGGATCGAAGCTCCTCTGGACTGATCTCGACAGGCCCCTCGATGAGCTGCCGTGGAGCATCTTTTCCTGGACCGTAGCATGAAAGCGGATAGATCGGGCGCTCTTTGGCGAGATCGATCTGAATAGCGTCCTTGTCTAAGCTGAATGTCGATGATTTTTGATCACGGTTTCCACCAAATGAATTAGTCCCGCTGTTATCACTTGGGCGATAGCGGTCGCCGTTGAAAGCACCGAAGCGGTTGGAGCTTCCGCCGAAGCCGCCTCCACCTCCGCCTCGACCTGCATCTCGCGAACTTCCAGGGTGCTCGAATTTGCAGGAATCTACTTCGCGTGAGACAGTTGTCTGTAAAGGATAGCGGATGAGCTTACCACCGAATTTACATGCATTCCGCTGGTAGAAGCCACAGACAGTCATGTCGCCTTGTTTGTCGTGATAGTCTCCTTGTCTAGGGTCAAAGTTTGAGTTTCGTAGTTGACTGTGTAATGTTAGCAACGGTGAGATTTTACTTGTGTTGTCAACTTGTGGAGGTCAATGAAAGAGGCAGTGGCGGCTGGAGTGAACGGAAACTGCGAAGGTTCCAAGGTTCAGGCGGACGGACGCGACGCGCTAGTAATCAACGCGAACAAAGCACGTCAACTAAGAAAAAGACCGAACAGGCCTGCAGCCTACATCGACGTGAAAACCTACAAGATAGGTAACCTAGCGTCGATGTAGGCTCTAGACCTGTTTAGTTTCTTTCTTGCATAAGGTGAACGCGCCAAATTTTGCCCAGGTTGTTGCGATTCACACAGCAGTGAAACGCCGTTGAAATCCATTACTTGTAGTTACCTCTGCCCATCGCGGCGCATTCTCGATGTTCCCGGCCCTCTGCCCGTCTCTGCCCATATCGACCGATGCATATGGCACTGGGAATGCTCGTCGCCAAATCGCGCCAAGCAATCAACGTAGACAGTATGGAAGTAGAGTAGAAAGAGTTGACGAGACGAAATTAAGCACCTACCGTAGCACGGCAGCTGGTGTGTTATAGCTGCTTGTCGAAAAGGGTGAATCTCCTTGTGCGTCTGGGTGTTGATGCTTGCCTCTGTGACGGTGTTCACCGTTGTCGAGGACGGCCCCGAGGAGCGATGAACGCTAGGCCATTTCAGCTTTAGCGTCACATTCCGATGAGTCGGACCTTCCACGTACGCGATCATCGTCTGTCTACGCTTTGCGCATTAATGCATCCAGCGCCATGTACTCCCAAGCGCACTACTCCATACCAGTGTCAGTTCACAGAGTGAAAGTCAGGACGCATCGCAGACACTTGCGCCTTCCTGAATGCTAGTCTAGTGTTCGCGCAGTCCCCCTTCGACCTTTCCGAACACAACTTGGCATGACGGCGTAGATGCACGCTTTCTCCATTCTTACTATCGGAATCTTCGTCGCAGGGTACTCGACCGCCCGTTGGGATCTTGTGACGCGCGTCTACGAACTAGGCATCTTTGCCTGGGATCACGGCGTTGTGACACGGACTGCTAAGGGTTTCTGTCTGCTGTCCCTGCTGTTCTTCCTCTTCATACTACCGGTTGTGCGCATCGCGACACAAGAGACAGACCTGGTCAGTATGGACCTTGTTCGCACTTCCAGGTCCTTACTAACAGCATCACACAGCATCCTCGACTCGCAGGCACCGGCATCTCTGCGCGCGAGCAGCTCAAACGTCGCGGTTCCTTCTAGCTAGCGGGGTAGCAGGATGATGACATGGTCACACACAATGGGTTGATGCGCGTATTCTGGCCGTCAGACGCTCCAAAGGACTCTGTGCCGGGTGTTCTGGTGGGGTTCAGAAACTCGAAGTCAGATGTCTTTGTGGTAGCTGTGCTTCAAGAAGTCGAGTTGCGTCAAGTCGAGAACGCGCTGCTTGTCGGGACCTTGCTGCGACACAGCCCACACGATGTCCAGGAACTACTTCAACGATGCGGACACTCTTCCTTGCGCGCCTTGGGCTACGTCAACCCCAGGAGCCCAGTTGAGCAGCCTGATAACGACCTCATCGTAGTCCATACCGACCCCTCGTTCCGATTTCCGCGCCTTCATCATCCTCACGAACCGCTCGCGACAATGCAAGTCATTGTATACGACCGACCGCACCCAACGCGTATGCAATACCTCTCGCTCAAACCAATCACGCTAGCACTGGGAGACAAAAGAAGGGTCGCAGAATGGGATGTAGCTTTCGAAGAGCTGGAGAAAGCAGAAGAGAAGGAGCGCAGAAGGAAGGCACATCTCGTTGAGAAGCTCAAGCTGCACACGGTGATTGCACACCCGCGCACTCAAAAGGAGCTGGCGTTGCCGATGCTCATCGAGCAGGTGAACTGTTCGCACGAATTGAACGCCCTATTACAGAAGAACATCGGCATGATAGGCAGGCGTATGAAGCGAGCCTTAAGTGTCAGTGAGCGGGTTGTCGAGTCTGCGAACGATCTCTGGGACTATATATGGCTTGTCCTCCATTATGCGTTCAGAGTCTGGATATGGCCGGTAGCCGCACAACTCTTTATTTTTGGGCTCATCACCCATCGCATAATGGGAGAAGCCGTTCTTCAGCTTCTCCATTGGCGACCAGGTTCTTCCGACTCGCCAGCTCTGAAAGACATCTCCGCAACAGCGCAACAGATTGACATACGATTACAACAGTCTTGTTACTGGCCCATTCAGTATCTCACCTTACGCAGGAGGAAAGTCAACTGGGAATCTATCACTAACAGTCATCCGGAGTATATCCGGTTCTACAATAGTCTGTGGCTGGTTGCCAACGATGTCATAATGGGCATCGCTGTTGGAACATTCATCATCGAGAACGCTTCGTTCGTGGCTGCTCAGGTCGATACCATATTCAGTACCTGGTCAGTCGACGGTCTACGGCGCATGATATCATGGCTTATGGGATGGCCTGGAGGCTTGAAGTTGAACACTGAACTGGCTGCGTTCCTGGGCGACCTTTTTCTTTGGGTCATTGATTACTGGGCGGGATGCATATCACTCCTGCGGCCACACCTACCTGCGCTGATCCAGATCATTGGCTTTTCCGCTTTCGCTGGCGCCACTATGCCCATCTCAATCTTCTCGGACCTCGTTTCACTGCTGACGCTGCACATCTACTCATTCTATGTCGCGTCTGCTCGCATCTTTCATTGGCAGCTTACGATAATCATATCCCTCTTCCACCTTTTCCGTGGAAAGAAGCGCAACATCCTCCGCAACCGAATCGACTCATGCGACTACGACTTGGACCAGCTATTGCTCGGCACTATTCTTTTCACACTGCAGTTCTTCTTACTGCCAACTGTGTTCGTCTTCTACTTGACGTTTGCGAGCGCACGCATTGCTGTCATCGGATTGAAAGCTGCGCTGGAGATGGGGCTTGCCTGTCTCAATCACTTCCCGCTCTTCGCAGTCATGCTACGACTGAAGGATCCTGGAAGACTACCTGGAGGAATCTGTTTCGAACTACAAGACACGACCGATCTTTCCTCTAGCACGACAAGCGAGACAGGCTCACCGCCGACGGCCTATGTGTTGCTGAAGGTAAGTCAAATTGCTGGATCCTGTGATATGCGAGAACTCACACTACGCAGTCGATCCCGCTGTCACTACGTGCGATGTTCCAACCCTATTTCGACCTTGGCGATCGCATACGCAAGCACTACTTCTCGCCTAGCGTCTTGTTGTATCTCGTGTCAGGGCAATTTGTCCCACCGATTCACCGCCGCAACTTATACAGCTTGCAGTATAGCATGCTCCCCGCCAACAGAGCAAGTATAGGCGAGCTGTGGAAGAAGCTGACAGAAAGGAGTGCCGCGCCATCGCACGGGTCTAACGGGTACGCTGCAATGCCATTCAGGAAGGACATACTTAACGGTAAAAGTAGAAAAGTCACATGAAACTTTAAGTCATCTGTATCTGTCTTATGTCTCTGTTTCCTCATGCCTCTGCGTGTCTTCTGCATTCCTCTGTTATGTCTTAGCTGCGGCCGCGTGTTGTTGCTCTACGAGAGACATATGTCACCCGCTCTCACATGCTATTTTCCACCTTCACCTCCAAACCCAAATCGAAAAAAAAAGAGGGCAAAAAAGAATCAACTCAACCCCCACCCAGCATCTGCTGACCGACGCCCACTCCGAATCGAACGGCGCGCCCTCCTGAGTTCAGCCCTTTGTGTGACATATCCTTCTCTTATGTGTTTTTTCCCATTACCAGTGTCACTTTTGGTTTTGATGGACATGTTGTCTGTTTTTTCTCTAGGTTTTTCTAATCCGTGCAATGCACTCTACGTACCCGTCAGGAGCCCACCCGAGTCCGCCAAGTGGAGGAGAGTTGATGGTGGATGGGGCAATGTTGGGGTTTATATCTTCAGGTAAAGGTGGGTCCTGTAGGTGCTGATAATGGGTGGGCTCAGGTGGGAGGGCTTGCATGCAGGGTGGCGGGGCTGGGTAGAGGGCGAGGTGAAGGTGAGTCTTAGAGCCTGTCTGGCGTGCACGAAGAGGTTGCGCCTGTATCTGAACTGTTTGGGGTTCTGCTAACATCAAGACGCTGGTTGAGGAGTGTAGTCGTGTCTCAAATGGGGATAACAACATGGCAAAAGCACACGCAAGCGAACATGAGCGGTCAGGAAGAGGTCCAACATAGTGAGGTTGGCAAGGTAAAGTTTCTATTTGCCAAGGTGCACCCAGGTAAGTGGGCTTTCCGTCAGAGGCAGGTACCATGATGACAAGATAGGTGGCTACATGTTCAGGAAGTCGCGACTAGACTCATGGCACGTGCTTGTCCTTTGCCCAATAGGTATCAGCATCCTAATACTACACCATGCTAACGATCTTTGTTTCCGCCTTACCTTACGATCTAGCGGCATCAGAAGAAAATCATTTTCTCGACCGCTTCCGTCGCCATGATTGCGGGTCCTCTCACTCCATCCTGGTAAGCCGCCACACCAATCACAGCACTAGTCTTGCAATTCGGCCTTCACCTTGACTGTGACTTGTCATAGACGCATATCTGCCTACAGCCAAGTTGCAGACCAACATCTCGTATAGCCGCAATTGTTCGACGGTCCCTTCCTTACCTCTCCTCACACCACCCTCTGCGATTCAAGACCACCAGGACGATAGTACGCACGATAGAGGCACAAACCGCTGCACAATCTGCTAGAGACAGCACTATGAGGCAAGTCACCTTTTACGACCGTCTACCGCCGATTCTGACATGTTCAATCTAGGTTCAATCCGGCTTCCTTCTTGACAGTGCGCGTCGGTCTTGAAGGTTCTCAAGAAGACTTTCTACTCCACGAAGGCATACTGGCCGGACGCTCCGAGTTCTTCCGCCGCGCGATGAACGGCAACTGGTCTGAGAAGAAGGATCGACTCGTTAGACTACCTGAGGATGACCCCAAGATCTTCGCTCTCTACGTTAATCTCATCTATATGGGTGCGATGTACACCCAAACAGAATATCAAAAGACGACACCTGTCGAATTTCAAGCACATACTCTGGCAAATGTCAAGTTCTACATCCTCGCTCAGAAGCTGCAAGATACGCAAGCCAAGAATTCCGCTTTGGAGACCGTTCGTACCGAGATCAGCGCCATGTCGTTTGCCGCAGACAGACTACCCAACGCCGAGATCGTCGAGTTGATGTATAGGAATACATTGAAAGGTAGTCTTGGACGGCGCCTCATGGTCGACATCTGGACCTGCATCAGCACGAAGAGTATTCTCGAGACGAGTGAACGCCTTTGCAGGGACTTCCTCGTAGATCTCGCCTACTCACTCCATGGTGAGCGTCCAATGCAAAATAGAAATTTAGCATGTAGAAAGGGCTATACTGCATATCAAGAGAAGCTTTGAGTAGCCATGTACCGGCTTGCACAGTACGGTCGTGGAGTTTGCCGTCTGCGGAAGGAACGGCATGGTTGGTAAATCTTCGATGAGAGCTATGAGACAGAGAGGTGAAAGCAATCATATACGGAGCATGTGCATCCAGTCAAAAAGCATGGCAGATATATAAAGCTTGCAAGACAAGACGTTCGCTTTTCATCGATCCAATACGTCCCAATCCTGAAAACTCTACAAAAACTTAGCCGCATCGGCATGTGTTCGTCTTTCAACTTCGTCTGTTTATTCTTCTTATCCAAAAGCAGATTAAAGACTTCGATTCTGCGCCTCTTTTCAGGCAGTGTACCATGGTGTCTACATCGATTAACTACTCATCCGCTATTGTATTTCTAGCTAATGTATACGTCGAGCATCACTTTTAGTGTTATCAACCCAAGTTTTGCTAGTCCGCATCTTGAGCTTTTCACTGACACCACGCTTACGAATGGCTAGCTGTAGGCGGTCGCTTCCCTAGGTATGTGAAGACAGACGATGATAATCCGGTTCACCATTCACCACGCCAGGTGTAGACAATAGTCCGAGCTCCTTCTTTCGGCTGCACCTGATTGGAAAGTTTCTCCTCAGACAAGCGCACCCCTTGATTCCACCAACACCGATCAACCAACTCTGACATCATCGTAACAGTCATGACAACTCTTCGAGCAGGTGTGAAAACAGCAATGAGGTGAGTATCTGCGATTGATCTCCAGGGCCCGTAGCTGACCATGGCAGCTTCGATCCGTCGAAGCTCGTCACAATCATTGTGGGCAAAGGTCCAAAACAACAGCGCTTCTCGGTCCATGAGGGAATCATCTGCGCACGCTCCGAGTTCTTCAAACGTGCTATGAACGGCAACTGGGTAGAGAGCGAAAAACGCATCATTGAGTTGCCGGAGGATGACCCAAAGATCTTCAACATCTATATCAACTTCCTCTACACAGGTCGCATTGTGACCAACACTCTCGAGGAGCCGATAGATCGTCAGGATATCGGAAAGGAGATGCGTGTGCTCGGCCGGCTTTACGTGCTCGGTGAGAAGCTCCAGGACAAGACTGCAAAGAACTCAGCCATCCAAGGTCTGCTAGAGGTCGCTGAAGAAAAAGATGCGGACGGGTTCCAGTTCCAGCCGACGGTCGGAACCATCATCATCATATACCAGGGCACATGTGCGGGCAGTCTTGGCCGTCGCCTTGTGGTAGATATGTGGATTAGGATATCGGCGGAATTTTTAACCCAGGACACGTGTCTTTTACCCAAGGAGTTTCTCGCTGACTTCGCCATCGCACTTCTGCGCTACCGTCCAGACGACATACCGAAACAGGCTACGATGGCAAACATTAGCGACTACATGGAGGAGATGGATTGATTCTCTACGAGGGCAACAAACACTTACAGCCACCTTCAGTCGATGACATCATTGTTTCAAAGAACAATGGAAACTCTCGGGTGGCCTACAGCCCAACGATGTAGCAGGACTTGATGGAGTCGATCTGGTTGAAGCGAAGAATTCCGAATGAAATCCAGCTCCAGGACCATAACGAGATAACTCACATCACGAAATTGCCCATGTATCGACATGTTGTCTCATGTACAGCCATGAGAACAACCTCGCCACGTGCATCATAGTGACTCATCCTTGTATTCACAGACCCGAGATAGCAACAGACCGAATGACATTAACAACTAATCCCCTCACCCAAACACCATAGAAAGTCCAAATCTCATACATCGTAAATCGCAGACCCTTAAGCAATAGGATCCCAACCACCGCTCAAGGCTTTTTCAATCGACACAAGCCGCCGAGAAAATATGCAAAGAACAACGACAACAACAAATTACCTCCTTGCAATCCATGTAAAAGGAAAGAAGGCACGATCCCCAAACCCCCAATGAATGAATAACGCCAAAAGCTAAATCATATGCATACGTGCCAGCTAATACTGGCTGTTTCAAACATGTATTATAATATTCCCGATGAAAAGGTGGATTCGTCGTCGTCAGAGGGAGGCTGCGGCCAGTGGTCGGGTTTGGGTATTGTGCTGCCGGCTTCGCCGTCGTTGGGTTTGCGACCCCATACTACGTAGCTAGTAGATGTTAGCATTCGCCTCTTCATATCGTGACATGTTCAGCATGCGACTTACAAGTTGTAGTATGCGTGCACACTCTCGTCCGCGAGCGAGTTCCTCACATGCGCGAGGTAGACTTCGACCTCGGCTGGCGTCCAACCCAGACCGGTGACAAAGTATTCAATCGTCCATCCGTGCAAACCGACGAGCATGTTCCACATGCAGAACTTGCCGTACATGTTCGACTTGTTTTCTTTCGGCCATGGATTCACGGGCAAAGCGAAGACCTCCTCGTGCACATCCACGAAGCCAGCTTCTCGGTACCACCTCTTTAGTTTGTCTGCGATGCGTAACGGCCGGCCCAGGATGTGCGCGGCCTCGTCTTGCAGATTTGACCATTCAAGCAGCGGGTAACTTTCCGGCATGCCTTCGGCACACTGGAGCTTGGAAAATATTTCCTGCGACTCCATCCATCCACCAGGTTTCAGATTGTTGAAGCCCTTTTGTATGATTTCTCGGAAGTCGGTGAAGATGCCGTGCATGAAGCGTGTGTGGACGTAGTCGTAGGTATACGGTTGCTTCTCGGGGAACCACCATGATGTCTTGAGGATGTTGTCCAGCCAGAAGTCGACGTTGTTGGGCAGTCTGTCTTTCTTGGGTTGGATCGCGGATAGGTCGATGCCTTCAACCTGGTGTCTGGTTAGCGTGGCCTTGGACAGAACATTGCATCGCGTACCCGCCAGTGTTTTGGAGCCTTCTTTGCTAGTGCTTGTCAGTCGTGTTTCCACAAGGAGCTACAGACACAGCACATACCCATGGCGATGCACCATTGTCCGGTGCCACAGCCAATGTCCAGCATCCTCGAGGATCTCTTTGTGTTCAGCGGCGCGAAGTAGTGTTTTCCTTGCAAGAGTCCTGTTATTATGTGATGCTCCCATTCCAGGCGATATATCTCGAGCTGGGGGTATGCGAGTCAGCGAAAGGGCGATGGGCGAATATGGGTTCTAGCAGCGCGTACCTCGTCGTTGGGGAATGGGTAGGCTGGAATCAATTAGCTAAATTCAGGCGAAGAGTCGTCCCGTGGGAATGCATACCTCCAGCATGGAAGCCATGGTAAGTTCGGCCGTACTTCTTCTCGACGCCATACATGCTTGGCGTGAGGCTTTGCACCTCGCTGCAATGTGTAAGCGCATGGAGTATACGAAGGGTGAGGAGGAGAGGTACAAGTCGTTGAGTTCTCCATCTGACGGTGCATCCGACTACATATCGCGATTAGTTTGGAGTCCATGGTACGCATGTAGTGGGGAGAGCAGGCGGCATACATCAGCTGGGTCGGCCGTCGAGTGTGTGAAGTCGGTGAGATTGGTGGCACTGGACAGCGGCCGCAGCTTGGTCTTGCGCACACGGTCAGTCGCAGAGGTGGCCATGATGTCTTGGGGATGCGCTACGGTGCGCTACAGGACTCGCCCCGAGTCGTGTCGAGGAAGAGGCGAAACCCAGCGGAATGGATAATGTCGTTCCCAAGGCCCTGGCCTTGGAGGGCGCGCCGACAGCGAAAGCGCCGACGGGAGCGCTAGGGGGCCAGTCAACCCCGCAGTCCTCGCAACCTCGACCGCCCTGTCTGCTGCCAGCTGTTGCAAAGACCCACAGCCACGCCCAACGTGTCGAATGACACCGACAGCTTTACGCCTCATCCTGCCAGTACCGAGTGCGTGGCTTTGGACATGCGTCACTCCTTCCGAGAGATTGGGCCACCAGCTCACCGACCACTCCCCGGGTGCACACCATCAACACGCCCGTCAATGTCTCAATGCCACCATTGTTGTCTTCTTCCTTTGCTTCTCGGGCGCTAGCACGACCTAAGCCCCGGCTTCTGACCCAGTTCTGGGACTGAGACCTGATCTGCCTTGCTCTGCTGTGTGTTTGAGGCACAGTTCTCTAGCGTACACAAAGGACTTTCCCAAACGGCTTCCCACCTGCGGCTATCGGAATTCCAAATGCTTCCCTGCCATTGTCTCTATCATGGTTTTCGTCTTCGTCTGGCTCAGCCACTCGTAGCTCGGCGTTTCCGGCGCCTTGGCCGCGTGAGCTGCATTGGAAGGAATGCGTCGGGCGCATCAACCAATGTATCGGATCCGGGGAAGGCCGTGTCAAATCATGCCATTCTGACCAAACTGGCGGTTTACCTGCCACTGCGGCCTGGACCGTTGGACCGTTGGGGGGAAACGTTCGCAAAGCTGACAGTTTCCGTGCCGACCCTCACTAGTACCCAGCGATGTATATGCAAGGTCTGGCTGTTGAGAAGTGCATCATATCGGGATACTTGCTGCAAGGAGAAATCGCCGAGGTATTGGAATTCGGCCACCTTCACAAGAGAGGCCTGGTCAGCATGCAATGCAATCACCAAGTCTGTTGGAGTCGCAGATAGGCGTCGTGGTGGATACAAAAATCAGCAAGGAGACGACCGCTTTCGTACGACCACTCAAACCGTAATGCGCATCTTGTGGGGGTGCATAGTATGTGGCAGTCGTTGCGGGCTTTGAAAGCGTTCTGCCTAGCATCATCCAACGGCGTCCCCTGCTATGCCATACACCGTTCGGTGACCATGCATCAACGCGATGAACTGTCATGCATGCGCATCTTGAACAAGTAGGCCAGGCATTATGGCCTGTGATGTAGGGTCGTAAAGTAGCGCGCTTGGCGGAGATGCTAAGAGCTTTCTATCAGACGTGGGCAATGTTGACTTGTTTGTATCGAGTAAGAGTGACGAATTCTCACGCTCAACATCACTGGAAAGTCGCTTGCTGGTACCTCTCGGGATTTTCGGGGGCGTCTCTAAGGAAAGTACCTCGTTCGCAGTGAAGAGGAGGTAGACCTGTGTCGTAGTAGGTGCGCGAATGTCACTGCTGTCTGAAGAGCTTTTTTGGGCTGTCGGCCCTACCTTGCAAGGCGAAGGCAAGAATGGCTTCTCCACTCTCGACATAGGAAGTCGCGTGAGCTGAGACGTGACTACCCCAGTATGATCTCTCCAAATGTCGTCGTCTCTCAGGCGGATCCAAAGACAATCAGATTGTTACGACGGTATATCGCATGCTGGCCAAAATCGCAGTCACAACGATTCTTCATTAGGTCTCTCACCTAAGTCACCTCCGCCTATCACCATTTCATTCTTCGTGCAATGGCCTCACTACAAGTAAAGTGGCACTAGGAGTATCGCGCTACCCAGATAGCATATATTATCTATGCTAACCAGCCAACGGGCTTGCCACCTACATCACTCTCGGAAGTGTAAGGACATCAACTAATAGATCAGCGAGTTCAGTTACCAGGGCATCGCGATGACGGTATCAAAGACTCGGGGCGCCGCACGCAAAGGTGCACGCAAACGGGTACAGTAAGTTCTGCAGCGTGCACGACTCAAGACATCAGATCTGACAGTATCCGTAGTTTCGGGCGCAATATGGTCGATATTCTTGTCGGACCTGACGAACATCCTTTCAGTGTGCACCAAGACCTGCTTTGTTCAAGCTCAAGCTGCTTCAAGGAAGAAGTGCAAAGCTCTCGCAAAGTTATCGAAGGCGAATGTTCGATCTGCACAGAAGGAATGTCGGGACATTTGCCGATTACTTATTGCGGACCTTGTGGTCAGAACTTCCACACTGGATGCATCCAAGAGTGGCTTGACAGAGAAGAGATCTGTCCTCTTTGCCGCACAGAATGGAATTACTTCGAGGACGAGGTTGGAATCTGCGAAACGAGTTTGGAAGAGTGCGATCCTCTGAGCTTCGACATGTACATGCAGTGGCTATATACTGGAACCATTCCAGTTTACCCTCATGGCGACCTTGAGAATGCTGTCCAAAACCGCTTCATCGAACTCATGAAAGCCCACATAGTTGGCGACAAGCTTCAAGATCCTGGATTTCTAAAAGCCATTTACGAGGAAATCATCGACTACAGTCTGACTGTCGAGAAGCTCCCTAGCCGGAAATCCGTCGTATTCGCATATACCAACGGAAGCGAAGTCTCTCTACTTCGCAAGTTCTTAGCGGCTCTGTATGCTGTACGGGCAAGCTCACACTTCAAAGACTTAGAGAGATTTCCAAAGCAGTTCATATACGACTTGTTGCTTGCTTCGCTGTCGCGACGCGTTTACCAAAAGGACACCAGAAAGGTTTTGGCTGAGTGGCTTCCTGGAAGGGAGGGAGAAGAAGATGAAGGGGTCGAAGGGCCAAAGGCTGCCGTAGGTTAGTGGGATAGGATGAGAGTATAACATAAATGGACATAGAGGGCGGGCAGA